TTGGAAATTTAAAACTCGTGTCGTTTCGTTTGTAAGTACCACACCACAGGGATGCACGATCGGTTGCATTCGTACAGGAGTTGGAATGATGGTTGTTATATTATATTACTAGAGTTGTTGGTAAAAACGTACGATCATGGTGTATAAATAAATCAACGTAAGGAGGAATCTTATAGAGAGAAAAAAGAAACATGAAAGAGAGAGAGAGAAGAAAAGAGAGAGAGGAGACAAAGAACGATAGGCTTTTTAAAATGCGAATTCAAAGGAAAGGCTCGAACAGCCGCGTGTCTCAGCTCCGTTCGACATTACGTATTCAGTGGCCAGCGCCATTTTGCCTCGACCATTTTTGCCGATCAAATCTTAATTGTTGGCTGGCGGCTGTCTAAGGAGGCGTGGCCACCGGTTGGTTCACTTTCAGCCACGCGATGCACGAACGCATCGATTTCTTTCTTTTCTTTGCTTCTTTTTCTTTTTCTTTTTCTTTTTCTTCTTCTTCTTCTTCTTCTTCTTCTTTTGCCAATCACCGGGCCCTTGCTCCGATCGGGACCACGAGGACTCGATCACGAGAAGAAAACGCTTGTGCGTATGCTAATCATTCTTGAGTTACTGGTTTTGTGAGCGATTAGCATTTGTATAAATAGAAATATATATATGTTATTTTTACCATCGAGAAAAAATTAAGGTAACTTACGCCATTTTTAAATTTCCGAATACAACATTGTTATATATCTAACGCGTGAAAACATTGAGATAGATTGATATTAATGAAGTCAGTTGAATCGTGTTAAAATGTAAGCATCGTATAAAAAAACAATTGTTGCAATTAGTTAGTACGATATAAAGTACCTATACGAGGCAACAATTATTGATTATCTAACGACAATCTCTAGCGTTAATAACGCCGATGCACGATTCTTGATAGCTACAAAGAAAAGGATAAATGCTCGTTAAAATTACTCGACGTAATATAATGCAACGAATATGATAAAAAGTAAGGAAATAAGTACGCGTATTGTCGTAAACGATCATAGAGAAAATTCGTGATTCGAAGTCGTAACAATTAAGAGATATTTAATCTTAATAGATCGTTTATAAATAATAGCTAGAGAAGATACGGTTAAATGTACGATCGAAATCAAATTATTTTTATAGGATACCTGTCGATAACATTACAAATGTTCGTTTTATTACAATAGAAAAAAAAAAAGAGAGAGAGAAAAAGAATATATGCACATATCTACTTAATTATCGGAAAGATGAAACGTATTCTAAAACTTAGTCGATTTCGTTGGTGTATGTGCGCGCGCGCGCGCGCTACCGCATGAATCCAAAGGATGGCACGTAATTAATTCGAAATTAATATAGCGTACGGTGTAATCAGAGCAATATATGGCAGGGTGCTGTGCAGTGCCGGCAACCTTCTTGCTCTAATCACACGTATTACTCTGATTGGCAACAATTGGTAACAATTGACGGGCGGAATCGAGTCTCGGAGGTTCCGCTACTTTGCCCGCGTTGTTTACGAGCAGAACTTCGAAACGTTACACCTTAATTGCGTGTCTACATGCTCGGAGAATTATCAGGGTTTCCTTCTTATGGCTGCCGCCTTGCTATTTCTCGTTAGAGACTTACGTACGTGAGAATTATAGCTTTCGGATATGTAAAAGTTTCTTTTCTTTCTTTTTATTCTCCCTCTTTAAAGGAAAAAGAAAAGAAAATGAATGATAATCAAGAAAAATATCTATATGATATGTGTTTATATATATATAAAATAAAGGAACTATAGAAATAGTAGGTACAGACATTTTTTATCGATCATGTAATTGAACAATTACGTAAGTCTTATATAGATATATATAATATGTATCTTTATATATTTCGTAAAAACGAATAAATTGCATAAAGATTATAAATACATAAAAAAATTAATTATCTATCTCACAACTCGACCCCGCATATTATTATTACACGATATATATATATATACACACCTCTTTCCAACTGACCGACCCTGAAATTTCCTTAACTTTCTTTTTCCATCTGGCGTCTACGTTTTACTTGCCAAATACGGATATGCAAAAGAGTTAAAGGATGGGAAAAGATGTATCAGGGAGGTATCGCATAAGATGGTGAAACTCGTGTAAGAGAATACTCCTTGTAATCTCTCATTTGCCTCGTAAAAAGGCAGGAACGAACGGATGTAACGCAGAAACAGCAACGTATTTTACGAGCTCGTAATGCAACCGATGGAACATCGCTAGGGTATGTCCGACTTGTCGGTAAGTTATTATACAACGTTGTTATACACAGCTAATTTTTTTCCTCCTTTTCTTATTCTATATTGTCTTTTTCCTTTTAGCAGTATAATGTTCTTCGTTTTCCTTTTTCCATCAGCATCCCACGGAAGTATCTTTGGAGATTACCTTAATTATAGTTTAACTTGGCTTCATTGAATCTTTCATTTTTACCATCTGTCTTAGCCTATATAAAAAGCATCGACATGGGGGTTGAAAATTCGACTACTTCGATTGTATTCCAAAAGATTGTTCTACATCGCATAAAATATAATTATATACGGTTTGAAAATAATTTCTTTGAATCAGGATACACTTTCCTAACACAAGGGATTTTATTAATATTCACTAGAATTTTATATCTGTTCAATTTCTGAAAACATTTTAAATGCTTAAGTAGAACAAAATTAAGTGGTACATTAACTAATTGCGTAAATTGAAGTAATAAATAATAAAAAAAAAAAAAAAATGATCTCTCTTACTGGTGCACACACACACACACAATTAAGAAAGAAAATAATTTTCTTCTATACGATACCAAAAAAATGAACCATAAGAACCATAAGAAAAGGTAAATAAGTATAAGTTGTACAACGACTGCGTTGAAGTCAATGAGAATTCTAAGAGGCGTGTAAGTATTATATTTGTTTGTACGAGGTCTTTAGCGTATTTTCTTATGTAGGTTCTTCTATAGGTTCTTCTGTACTGTGCCGAGAGCACATTACGGTCGTTACTTAAAAGTAGACCATTACTCTTTCTTTTCTATCGGAATAATACACCGTTGTTATTTCATTTACACGGCACCATGATTCATCGATTTTCAAGCATCTTCGTCTCTATGTATTGTATACATAAGTATATTATATGATGAGTATTTTTTATAAAGTTATAGCCGATTTTAATAGTAAAATTGAGTGGTTAATGTAGCCCTTGTAATTTATGATTAAAAAAAAAAAGAAAAAGAAAAAATATAATATTCAATGCAGATGAGAAAGAAATAAAAATTCCCATTGATCTCATGGCAGTGGCCTTCGTGAAGGAATAAATCTCAGCGTAACGATCGGCACATAGATCGTTGTGAAAGAAATTAGTAACGCAATCCCTTCAATTCAGCGAATATCTAATCCCTCAAAATTCCTATAATTCGTAGCTCGCTAATATCCTTTTCATCGAAATTATCGACTGAAAAAGGGGGAAAAAGGGTATGGTGAAAAGAGGAGAATCGATCGTTCCTCTCCTCCGTCTTCCCCGACGCTGGCAAGATGTTATTCTTTCAAGAGTGCAACCAGTGACGTCAGCGAGTTTGCGGTCTCCAAATTACAATATCGTTAAAACGAGCGAGTTGAGATCGTGCGCGGGTAAGCTCTCGCAGAGAGAAAGAGAGATAGAGAGAAGGATAAAAAGAGAAGAAGAGAGGACGAAGAGGAGGAGAAGGAGGAGGACCTTTTTCGTTGGCCGTGCGCGTTCGCAGAATAATGGCCTTCTGATTATATGCATTATATGGACCAAGATTGATACGATACGTAATAAAATAATTGAAATAATCACATGGCGCAACGACGATTCGCGGTACGTTAGAACGAACGAACGAACGAACGATCGAACGATCGATCGATCGATCGATCGTAACTTACAATGCTGACTTTTCCAAACGTGTCAAATCTTTTTTTTTTCAACGTTTTCTTTTTTTAATCTATCTCTAATCGATTGCAAAGTTTAATACATATACCTATATTTATCGAAGAAATAACAAATCTGTTTCATTGAAATTATCTGTGCTTGTTGAATCTGTAAACAGCATAAATCGTTAATGATATTTATACTTATTAATATTATAAACAAACGATTTAAGAGCGTATATTTAAATGAAACAACGTTTAATCTGAAATTCGTAGATAAATCGAAAAGAGGATCTTATTTAAAGGGCGAATGATGTTACACGCGCGAAGGCGTAGTCGCAGCCGGCGCGCCCTTTTCCCTTGCCGATCTCACGGCGCCACTAAAACACATACGCAAAACTTCGATCCTTTTATTTCATTCCTCGGCAATCTTAATATTATCCCACGAATTACGGGCTCTCCACGGTGATTCACGATCCCATACGCGCGCACGTACCACGAATTAGACTCGGATAATCGCGATCCGAATCCTTCAAATTTCTTTCCTTCCTTATCTTATCCTTTATAACCATTTAGAAAAAAGGAATTATTTTCTTTCTTTGTCGGTGTTGAACGAGAGAGTCGAAATATTTCTTATTTTATATTATACTTTTTTCCTCGTACGAATTTCTATCGTAAAATATCATTTTGAACAATTGAACATTTGTATGGGAACTGACACCCTTGTACCCTTGCCAATGTTCATACGTTGATTCCTGATAACTTTGATACTCAAAGGATTAACACCTTAAAATATTCGTGATAATAATGATAATTTGATTCGTGAAAAAAATTGTCGTTTTCCGCATACAAATGTGCGAAAGAATTGTCTGCGATATTCAATAAATAATTTAAATTTCATAGCACCGATATACAAAAATGTTAATTATTATTATAAAAATTATACAAACTACAATGATATGATAATCATATCGTAGAAATTCGCGCCAAATTTGATTTCAGAGAAAGAGAGGAGATATTCTCGTTCATCAGGGAGAGGCCGCAACGATTGTGTCGATAAAGTAGAAAACTGTTTCGCAGCAGGAGGCTGCCGGTTGAAGTCATCTGACGTCATTAATGTGTGGTGTGTATTTGCTATCGCGAAAGTGTAACACGTTGTTCAAGAAAAATCATCGTACGTGGCTTACCGAAAACAAAATAAACAAGGTATTTCGAATTAACGTAAAAATATATTCATTTTTTAAGCGTAAAAATAAAGCGTCGTTGATTTTAAGTGTTTCATATTTCGTGCTAGTAGTCTTCGATAAAAACGTGTTCGATCCGTTCAATAGTAATTTAATAGTGCTCTTTGTTAGATGTCGACGAGAATAGGTTTCTTCAAAATCTCTCGTAATTATTTAATTATTAAATCTGAATAAAACGAGTCGGTTTATCTCTCATTCCAGTGTCAGAATAGTGAATCTTTCCGTCGTAGAAGTAAGGTTAAGTTTTCGGATGCAGTCTACACTTTATTGATTCACGTAGGCAAAGATAGAGGACAGCACTGAGCGTGCATATCAGCGACTACGTACGTCATCTGTTTGGACTAATAACTGAAAGTAAAGGCGGTAAAATTCAAAAAAATTGACACAAAATATTAAGTTAGTAAAAAATAATGTAGAATTTAATAGTGGTAGCTAGAAGAAAATTCGAATGGTTTGAAATTGGAAAGTTAAAGTTAGCGATAGAAGTTAAAATAAAAGAGGTCGTCGAAAAGAAACGCCGTGGTCGGTCATTATCGTACGTAGACAGATCCCCGGGGGCGAGACGACGTCGTAAAGAAGGAGGAGGAGGAGGAGAAGGTACGGTCACGGCGTGATGCTGCGGTGCTGCGGTGCAGTGGTGCGACGATGCGGCGGCTCTTCGCCGAGGTAGCATCGCGCCCCACGACCGAACCTCTTTCGCGGCTTCTCCATTATCGTAATTTGCAAATTTCCTCGGGATAGCAGTGAAAAAGGATGAAAAACATCAACGCGGTTTGGTCGTTGTTCCTTTTTAACGGAGGACGATGGTTGCACGATCTCGTGGCGAGAAAGGGGAGCAGGAGGAAGAGAGAGAGAGGAAAAGATAGCGATAGCAAAAAAAGAGGGGTAGGTAAAGGGGTAGGGATTGGGGCAAGGGGAGCAGGAACCGGGAGTGTAGACGGTGGCGGATTGGCGGCCTCGGGCGTACTCGCGGATTCTCCTTGTGATGCCGGTGATTCGCGGCTCTGTTGCCCACTAATCCTTGCTTGCCCGCCATCTTCCTCCTCCCTCGCTCGAGATATCGGTAAAAGATCCACGAGGAGAACATGGATCGCATCGTTCGAGGGGGTAGGCCGCCGCCGCCGCCGCCGGTAAACACAGCGATCGTTCGACGTGCCGTTCTCGTATTAATATAATTAGTCACCGCGAGCGTTCTTCGAGAGCCCTCCCTCTCGATATAGCTCCTCTTCGAGTATTTCGATTTCGCGCCTCCAGGCGCTTCCAAGCGACTCCTTGTAAAACGATCGAGACGATCCAACCTTCTTCCTCGAAGGATGCGACGCCAATTTTTAATTACTTCCGTTCTCCAATTTTTTTTCTTTTTTTTTTATTATTATCATTCTAAATATCGGATTAGCTCAAGTAAAATAGACATCTATTGCATTTTTATCGTTTTTATTATTATTATATTATTATTAGTTCTCGATCCTTGTTTCGTTACAGAATGGCACCGAAAAAAGTAGAGGAACCAGAAAGAAAGCCACTCATAGGACGTGTAGGGACTAATTTAAAAGTTGGTATTGTTGGAATGCCAAACGTCGGGAAGTCTACCTTCTTCAATGTTCTTACCAAAAGTCAGGCGGCGGCGGAGAACTTTCCTTTCTGCACCATCGATCCGAATGAAAATAAGTATCTGAATTTATACATTTTTATTCCCTGGTAAAACTTTTGTCAAGAAAAATAGTTTTCGTTTGTTCGTAACTTACTTCAACTCGCAACGTTCTATTTATAACATTGATATAACCCGATTATGAATAATGTGCAATCGGGCGATTGAACGTTTAAGAAAAGATAGTCAGAAGGAAAAGAACAAATTTTACGTCACATCGTCATACATATTAAGGAAGAGTTTCTTACGATTCGTCAAGGGGTACCCTCGTCAAGAATACATTCCGTTTTGGCCATCAGCTCATTCAATTCCTAATCCAAAAGCCAACATTTACTATGCCTTCAACGAAGACACAAATCCTTTCACAAGATTTAAGAATACCTGTAAATGTTCGAAAAATGAATATCAAGCACATTTCGAACCACCAACGGAGCCCTTTGTCCTCCGCGATCCTTATTCCGAGGAAAAAGCGAGAAATAAATATCTTCAGACGAAACCAGTATCTTTTGTTATATTTGGAAAGCCAGGTGTAAATACTCGACAACTCGCTATGATGATTGCCGACGGTTGGAAGTGCGTTTTAATATCTCTCGAGTCTCTTGTCGAACAAGAAATACAAACTAAAACGGAAAAGGGCAAGTACATCGAACAAATTTTACGTTCTGGTCAAAATTTAACTTCTGAAATAATCCAAAATTTAATCAAAAATAGAATAAATATGAGAGATGTTAGACATAAGGGTTATGTTATAGAAGGTCTGCCGTTTATCCCTAATAATCCAAATCTCGATCATTTGTTTTACCCTAAAATCGCTGAATTACGTACTAAATTGATTATAAATGAAATCAACGCAGAAAATGATCTCTTGTCAACCTGTGAAACAATACTAACACCGAGTTCGAGCGATTCCGAAGATATACAAAAATCCTCGTGTAAAATGAGAATGGATCCAGAGCAAGACATACCTCACCAGATTGACGAAATCTTTTCAACGTGGCCTTTAAAACCATCTATCATCATCTACATCATATGTCCCGACGAAGATCTTTTCAAAAAATTCGAACTATTAAAAGCAGATTCGCTGATCTTAAAATCCGTGGACTCCACTTTATCGGTGGATACTAATGAAAATATGCAATTGTTTACAGAAGATAATTTCGACGATAACACACAAATTTCTTGTTCAAACGCATCGGGGACATTAAAGGGAAATAAAGAATATATATCTAAGGAAATCGAAGAAATTCGAAATAATGTGAAAAATCGATGCGAGTTATACAAACAATTGGCCATGCCTGTTATAGACAAATGGGTTCTTCTTCAAAATCCTCAAAACGTAATACGTGTGGATGGTCGTACAACTCCGTTGCAAATGTTTGAAATTGTGAGTGTGCGTTTGCGTATATTGTCATTGCCACGATTGTTACTTCCAAAACGGTTGATAAAACCAATCGACGAGTTAGGTATGGTAGAAGAAGAAGAAGAAGAAGAAGAGGAAAAAGAAGACACAAGGCAAATTACCTTGGAGGAGGAACTCGAGGGTATGAGCAAGGAGAATGCTTTTCGAGAAATGGCGAGCATGGAGTCCGTAGGTCTGAGGTTTCCTTGGAGACTGTCGCGTTGGAAATTTTATTGCCCGGTCGAATTGGCCAAAGGAAGAACCGTCGAAGGTTCCTCAAAATATTCCCTTACATTCCTGAAGAATATTTTTTTTCTCTCCTCCGATGAAGCACTTCAATTATTTTTAGACAATCCTAGAACTTTTTTATTACCACCTAATCCACGTTTAACTTGTAAGATTGCAATTATCGGTCCGAAATATTCAGGTAAATCGAAGTTGAGTCGAGAATTGGCGCGAATTTTAAATGGTACGGTCGTTGATGTTAATGATCTAGAAAAAAGTTTTAAAAGAGATTGTATTAATAATAAAATTATCGATGCCATGCGTGAAATAGTCGATGATGTTATACGAGAATTGAGAATCAAATTGGAGAAAGAAAGAAAAATAAGAATAGTCAAAAAAGAAGCTGATCTTAAAGCATGGTACGAAGATATCGTTTTGACTATTCAACGTGTGATAGATATCGTTCGATCTGAAAATACTATAACACCGCGTGAACAATACAAAGACATACGTGATGAATTGAAATCATTACGTAAAAAATTACACGAGAATAATATTGCGCACGTTGAGACGGATCATCGTCTTTGGCAGGAAATAAAAAAGGATAACAATATTTTACGCGCTTATGCACCGGATTATTTAAGAAAAGACGAACCACCGATTAGAAAATTGACCGAACATGACCCTGAAATTTCGAATATATTACAGGATCGTGTAAAATATTTGTACGACGAACCGATCGAATTAAGCACCGATGAAAAAGCTGATCTAATTATTAAGCATATACAAAATATTCCATACGAAATATTGGAAGATGAAATAAATAGAGACGGTGGTTTTATTATCGACAATATGTACATGGAATTCGATGTTTGGAGGAAAATTTTAAAAGAGAGTAACATTATTTTTGAAGACGTTATAATAATTTTCGAAAACGATCCATATTATCGTCTCATTCAAAATTGGCGATATTTTCAAGCAAATTACGACGAAGAATCGGAGGAAAATATATTTAAAGATAAGGACGATGATATATTCGCATATGAATCAAAGATAAAATTAGAACAATATCTTCAACATCTTGACGATTATCAATCAACTTTGAGAAATTTTCGATATGATATGGACGATTTGAATCAAAACGTGATACTTTGTGAGATTGGATCAATTAAAAATATTACCAGTCACGTTGTTAAACGAATTAAAGATCGTTACGATTGGAAAGCAACTGTAATGAGTGAAGAAGAGAAAGAAAATGAAAGATTGATAGAGGAAGAAGAAATGAGACAAGATGAAACGTATCCCGAGGATGAAGAAAAATTAATGGACAAAAAAGAAATAACAAGATCGATTAAAAGTCAAATCATTCCTAAAAATAATCGTCGATTAGGTGACAGCAGTAATTATTGTCCCGTTGTGTTATCAAAATATAATGTCCTTTGGAAAGGTAAAGATGATTATAGTGCAATGTTCATGGATAAAATTTATCTATTATCCAGTGAACAAGCATTAAAAGAATTCATTGAAAATCCATTGAATTTTTCTATTCCTTTGATAAAACCACCAATTGTGATACCTCTATTACGAATTAGCGTCATTGGTTTACCTGGAAGTGGAAAAACTACTTTATCAAAAGCTTTGTCTAAAGAATATGGATTATTTCGCGTCGATTATATCGAATGTTTAGAAAAGTATATGACAAGTAGAGGAATGAAAGCTTTCACTTTAAAAGATACTTTGATAATTCCTGAAGAAAAAGAACTCGAAGAAGTGGATTTACCTGAAGAAAAAGAACTCGAAGAAATGGATTTACCTGAAGATATAAACGATATTAGATACACTACAAACGAAACATTGATATTTATGTTTATTAAAGAATATATTAAAAATGGTGGAACGTTGCCCGAGTATATGCTTCGAGAATGTTTTTTAAATTATTTTCAAGCGCCATTCGATAAATGTGGTCTTGTACTCGATGGTTTTCCAAGTTGTTCTCAAGATGTAGAATTGATGTTAGAAAAATGTATGGTACCTGAAGTAGTGATCGAACTTAAGTGCAGTTTAGAAAAATCTATGGAAAGATTATTACCAAAGTATCTTAATTTTTGGAAGAAACAGCAAGAAAAAGATAAACTTGCCGAGGAGGAAAGATATAACGAAGAAATGAATAATTACATTAAAAGACGAGACCAATGGATAGAAGAAATAATAAAAGAAAAACATGAATATTATATCAACGAAGACACAGAAATGTTCGAAGATGAATCATACAATTTTTCTACGAACAATAATTATTTCGAATTAAGTTCAAGCGAAAGAATCGAATTAGAAGAAACTTGGCGAGAAGAGAATTCTGAACCTGTGCGATTTATCGATTGGGAAGATATCGTTACAGCTAAAGAAAGAATTTGGAAACGATTAGAAGAAATTTATGAAGATAACAGACAAAAAATAGATTCCATTCGTACTTCTATAGAAAATGAAACTATACCATGGATAGAAATAGACGGTGAACAAAACGAGCGTAAGATGATAATACAAGTTCAAAGATATCTCGAAAGCTATGTATTTCGAGATATCTCGATGTTCGAGAGAACTTATTCCGTCGATATGGAAACAGCCGAACGTCTTTTAGAATGTGGATATTATTTTTTAAGCTCATTTGGCCGCTGGTGTCCGGTTCAATTATATCAAAATAAAATACCGATTCAAATGTTTTTACCTATGGAAGCGAAAGACGAAGTTATACCTCTGATCCATCGGCAATATATTTATTTTTTATGCGGTCAAGATGCTGCATCTGCTTTTGAGAAAAATCCATTGAAGTATCTTGAACAAGATTCGGCGATACCACTCATTCAAATGAATCTTTCTATCATTGGTCCACCTAAATGTGGAAAAACAACACTTGCTGAACGTTTCGCCGAGACATATGGTCTAAGATTAATTTCATTCGATAAAGCTTTGCAATATGTAACGAATAATTATTCATGGACCGAATTAGCTACAAAAATCGAATCACACTTTCAAGATAACGTTGCTATCGATAATAAAATAATGAGTCGAGCTGTTGAAATGTATTCAATTAATCCACGCACAGCTTCTCAAGGCTACGTTCTCGACGGATTCCCATGTAATCGTGGAGAATCCGAAGAGTTAGCTTTTCTCAATATACGTCCAACGATCGTCATTGATCTTAAAGCTGATTTAAAATTTTCTTTGGAATGTTTGTCTTATACCAATAAGGAAACAAACAAACCGGTGGACTTTGGTGTCGAACATTTGATTAATCTTTACAATCAGTGGCAAGCTGATCAAGAAAATTATCGAGATTGGCTAAGGAAATTCTCGCAAAATATTTTCGAAATAGATGCGAGTAATAGCAAGTGGGGTGTATGGACTCATGCAGATCAAGTGGTACGAGAAAAATTTATGAACATTAGACGATACTTCCGTGAAGCTGATTACGACAAAGTTCATAACTTAGAAAATATGTGTGTATCACCTTACGAATTCAAATCATGTCAAAGTATTTACGAATCTTATTGTCCTGTTTGCTTATTACTCGATAACAGCATAGTTTCTTCAGGTGGGCTGATCGATCGTATTGGATTAGTACAATTTCGAGAATACTTTTATTGGATATGTACGAAACACAGGAAGGATTTTATCAAAGATCCACTTCGATATATTCCACCAATGAACACAGCTATTTTACCAAAAATTCGACCACGAATCGTAGATGAGACGATCGATTTGAAACACGCATGCTGGGCAAGACGTTTGCAAGCTAATGGATGCTGTTTGGTTACTTACGTCGACAGTCTACCCAATCGAAATCTAATCTCTGGCAAAATCGATTTAGCTGTTCTCTATGACGACAAGCTCTATCTCTTCTGCAGCCAACATTGTCAAGATCAGTTTCTCTTACGTTGGATGAAATATTGTGACATTAAAATTCATTTCCCTTTTAACATACCAGACATTAATATCACTAGTTTACCAATTATCGGATATTTAGAAGAAACTCTAGCAAACTGTGTGATAAAAGCCGTCAACGAAGTTGCAGTCTTTCGTCCAAAAATTCCAGGCTTGTCTGTTGCTGCCAGCGCAGCGATTTACATGGGAGTTTTTTTCAAAATTCGCAACGAAACTTGTATCTTTAAAGAAACGGATATTTATCGGAAAGTTAACGAACGTATGAGAGCTCGTAGACGAATTATGGACATGGCAATTTGTAACATGAAACATAAACTCAATCCTAATTTAAAAATTCCAACAAGTTATTTTAAAATGAGAATTAGTGATATTTCTGATATACCACGAGTAAGCTCTATTAGATTCCGACGAACATCACCGACTCAGATTTTAGATGATCCTAACGATTCTTCCTAACCCTTTGATGGTAAACCTAAGAAAATAGAATATAATATTGTTATATACTTTAGTATACGTACATTGTATAAAAGCTTAATGCATAGGAATATATAGTGATTATTAGTGAGATAATAATTGATTATATTATGATAATTAATAAATAATAATTTGTAATAATTATTAATCAGTATATATTCTATAGTATAAATAATTATCTATCTAATATTATATTAATATATAATCCTTATTCAAAAAGTATGACCTTTGAAATTGTTTGTTAAGGCACGTCGTGTACCAGTACCCGACGCAAGGTACGACTATTTATGTGAATACTTCAAACCGGCCAGGTAAGCAATCGTGCAAACATTATTCGATCGTAGCAAGTCGAATGTCTCTCGAATACGTTATCGTCGTGTTGAAAAGGAAGTAGTAGAAAGAGTCTATCTAACATTTCTTTTCTTTTCTTATATATTTACGTACATATACACTTGCAAAAGGAAACGATTCGGAATAACCAACGACATTTCCATACTTCTTCGCCTTTATTCTTTCGCGAGGAGGAGACTGTAAAAGAATAAAAGAAAATAAACGAAAAGAGGTAGGGAGGGTGCACGTTTCGTAGCACGTGATCTGCAATGCAGATCGACCTAAATTTCTCTTACAGACGTTAGGAACCATTGCAAAGAGTTTACTCAAGTTTATAAATTGCAACTGTTATTTCTATTTCATATTTCGTTGTTTCTTTTAAGATTTTTATTTAAAATATCTATCGTGTTCGTAAATACCTGCTCAATGAACCAGTTAATATCAAAGTACATTTGTTTAAAAATTACATATCTCTATTAATATACTTCGAATATAAAACAATTCTTCGATCAGATAATTTATTAGAAAATAATTTTCAACTCAAAGTCATTAATGATCAATAACTTTAAAACAAATGTATTTTAATTTATATAATCCTAAATATTAATAGAATACAGTACTATATTAGATATATTTTAAATAACTGTTAATTAATCGAAATAAATGTGTGCGTATATTGAATATAAGTTCGACGTTCACCGTTAGACTGACGGGTTGTTCTCTATCCAAGTTCTTTTATTCTTATCTAATAATTAAAATTCAATATTAACGAAACACGTGGGACAAGGAAAGAGAAAGAGACAGAGAGAGAGAGAGATAAATGATAGATAGATAGATAGATAGATAGAGTTAGTAAAATCGATCGAAAGGGGCGCATTTACACGGATAGTCGCGTTGATAGTTACCAACGATGGTTCAACGAGATGCTCGTACGTACCTAGATATATGTCGAAAACTCCCAACTCGGCCAGTATCATCGTGCTATTCTCTTTCTCTCTCTCACACACACAAACACATACACACTCTCTCTTTGAATCGTGCGGAAACCGCTGTATGTGCTGCGGTGTCCATCAACGCGGCTAACCGTCGATGAAAACGGTGTTTACCTTGTCGCGCGTCATCGTGCTTGCACAACGACTCGGTGAAATTGAAAATGCAAAGCAGTCAGAGGATCATGCAAAAGGTTGAAAAGTCAAATTCTCGATTAAAAGATTAATCTTATCTTATCAAATTATTTCTTTTATGTTTAATAATAAAATCCATGTGCAATTTATATATTATTTAACAGTAATAAGAATCTAAAGGAAAATAAAAATGAGAAATGATTTCGTTTAAAATAACATTTCGATTATAATGTTCCACGGATGGAAACGTGTAAATAAAAAAACCTAAACTAAGTTCGTTGATCAAAGGAAAAACTTATTCTCCCTCCCTTGAACTATTCGAATACGATCATCATACTTTCATTCACGATGTATCGTATACTCTCATTGATGGCACGTGTCCGAGAATTCGGCGATCTGTGATGAAAGCAGCCTAACGCGTTCACCACCCTTCTCGTTTGCTTTTCCACGGCGCCTCTCTTCAAAGGCTAATTATTTAATGAGGCCGCTGGCATTAGCATTTAAATGTGCCTCGTTGTCACTGCTCACCCTCGTTTCCATGCAACGCACGTGCATGGCACCGTACACCCTCGACCTTTAATCGGAATTCTCACTGTCTCTTTCTATCACTTCTTTCTCTTCTTTATCAATAGGGGACAACGTGAACGTATTCGAAAAATCTCACTTTAGAGAGACATTCGAACGATTCCTTTAACAGACTCAATAAATAAATCATTTTTTGTTTGTTAAATAGAGTATAATTCCATTTATTTTTATTTTAAGATATTCAAGGATGTTAGCGTTGGAGTTTCATTTTTTAACTCTAAACACGTTAAATTTTATTATCTGATAATGATAATTAATAAAACTGCAAATGATTGTATACGATTTAGAAAAAAAAAAGAAAAAACATTTATGCATTAATATTTCACAGTGAAACTTATTTTTCATGAATTCATTAAGAAATACTTTTTTATTCGCGTTTTTTTTTTTTTTTATTAACTAAATGAAATTATTTCGAAAGAGAAACGATTCAAATGTAAAATATACATACGCCCAATATATTCGTACTTTTGTATTTTCTCTTAGCAAAGTCCCAGCATTTTTAAACGTAGTGGATATCGCTGGTCTAGTAAAAGGTGCTGCCGAAGGACAGGGTTTAGGAAATGCTTTTCTTTCTCACATTAGTGCCTGCGACGGAATTTTTCATCTTTGCCGTGAGCATGATATATATAATGATTATCTTGACAATAGAATTAATTTGTATGAATAATTAGATATCGAATGAATGATCGTATGTATCTACAGGAGCTTTCGAAGACGACGATGTTACTCACGTAGAAGGTGACGTTAATCCAGTACGAGATCTGAATATTATTAGCGAAGAATTACGACTGAAGGACGTCGAATTTCTGAATGGTCATCTTGAGAAATTGGAAAAATTGGTTGTTCGCGGTAACGACAAGAAGTTGAAACCAGAATACGTGAGTGTTAACAAAAATCATTTTTATCGAATAACCCAATCGAGTAAATTAAGAGACTAGACAAACTTTTCTCGGAACAAATGTACACGATTCTCGTTGATCAATTTCCAAGCAATTTTCGACTTCCCAATTTAACAAAACTCCAAAACTCGCGTGATCGAACAATCGTCGAGATTGATTTCAAGTCGATTTTAACTAGTACACTGCTGTTGCTGCGGTAATTCTACTTGCGTGTTACAAATCGTTAATAGTATTTTGCCTATGTGTGTGTGTTTTTTTTTCTATCGACAGGATACACTTTTAAAAGTTAAAGGTGGTTTGGTAGACGACAAGAAGCATATCAGGTTCGCCGATTGGAGCGCAAATGACGTAAGTTTGGAAGTTTTCCTTCCCACTGTCGCAAGAAACATGCAATTTGCTCGTTCGATCGTTATAGTACCTACGATAACAACGCGCACTCATGATCGTCCTTAACATTTGATTGCAGATCGAGGTACTCAACAAATATCTCTTCCTCACGTCGAAACCAGTTATTTATCTGGTTAATCTTTCGGAAAAGGATTACATTCGTAAAAAGAACAAATGGTACGCCGCTTCATTTTAATTTCATATAAATAATAATAAAAAAAAAAAAAAAAAAAAAAAAAAAAACGCGTTTAGAAAAGCACTAGAGCTCTGATTATAAAGATAAACATAGATTATATAGAGGTAATATTATTTTCACAATAAATCGCTAGATATTCGCAGAATACTTGTCGTTTCATTTTCCNAAACCAGTTATTTATCTGGTTAATCTTTCGGAAAAGGATTACATTCGTAAAAAGAACAAATGGTACGCCGCTTCATTTTAATTTCATATAAATAAAAAAAAAAAAAAAAAAAAAAAAAAGAAAAAACAGAAGTTTTCGATCCTATTAATATTCTGATTATAAAGATAAACATAGATTATATAGAGGTAATATTATTTTCACAATAAATCGCTAGATATTCGCAGAATACTTGTCGTTTCATTTTCCGCACGTTTCTATCGACGTGGCCGGTGAAGCGCGTTGCAAAACACTATAGAGAACGGAATTATTTATACGTGCGTGTCGACATGTAAACGCGTATTCATACGCACGCTCGAGGGCTCACTAACACGAATAGTTCGTCGATTTATTATTCAGGAACGATTTGCAGAGGTGCATTGCGAAAATGATATCGTGGGAAAGTGCAGTTGAATTGTAAGCCTATCGCGTATACTCGACGTTAAGTTAGTGTATGATTCACAGAGCCCTTTATAATCTTTTATTTTCCATGATGCACTTTCACGCAATTATATTTGAAAAAAAATATTTGTTAGATATGAGAGAAATAAACGATAAAAAAAAATCTCTAAACTTTCATCTAATCTTAACGATATTTCAGGTTAGTCAAGATCAAAGAATGGGTGGATAAGAATGATCCAGGATCTGTGCTGATTCCTTTCAGCGGTGCATTTGAAAATAAAATCTTCGACATGGAAGAACCGGAACGAGTTAAATATTTCGAGGAAAACAAAGTGACCAGGTAGGCATCACTCTCAAATGAATTACTCTCAAATCTGTTTCTTCTTGATTGATACGATTTACGTTTTTACAAATGGGAGGCTATTTTTATTTGAAAGTCGAAAATTCGTTAGGTCCAACTTCTCGAAACGTGTTTGGTCGCATTTTCTTCAAATCCACGAAGAGAGAAAGAGAGAGAGAAATACATAGGTCCATGGAATAACAGGGGTTCCCACATTTAAGTATGCAACGAATTATCTTCTAACCGTACTAATAACGGCTGGGGATGACTCTTGGAACGTCTAGACTAGTTCTCTCTCACTTTCTCTCCCTTTTTCTTTCTAACGCGAAGAGAAACTAATAAAAACTACGGTTGTGTTTCGATGAGGAGAATGGAGAGAAAGAGAGTTAGAGAACCGTATTATATTTTTACGAACGGCTATTCAAATTCTTACAAAATTGCATAAAAACTGGCCGCCCTCGCGCGTACCCAGGAGAGGGTATAATCTGTGGTAAAGGAGAGCCGAGAGGCAGAACGGCTGAGTTGGCTAGTGGGTCAATCGTATCTGTAGGGTGTTCAATGCACGTGTGCCACGTTCAAGCAAATTTACACGAAACTACAACATTGTATTGCTAACTTTTACAAATGGAAAGTACTCCCAAGTAGATTTAACACTTTGTGTAGTAGTATATATTTTCATTTTATATTTTTTCCTTTCTTTCTTTTCGATTTACCGACACCAATCTTGACTGACGTCCAATGTAAAGTGAATGCGTCGAAAGATATAGAATTACAATTTCCTCTTAGTGAACTAACTTTTGAAATACAAGTTTTCTTTATTATAAGATATCAATAAAACTATCTTCATTCGAGAAAAATTTACGTACGAATCAATTGGACGAAGTAACGAATCGCGTTTCACCCTTTTAATCGAAAGAAAACAGAGTATCTGTGATATTATTTCGCTGTCAAAAATAGAACAACCGTAGTATTCGTTGTCGTCGTCGGCGGCGAAATAGGTTTCAGAAAGTCAGAATGATAAAATTACGGCATTAAGTCGTTCGGCTTTATGCGTATTCCTTGAAGTCTGGAGAGAAGTTGTGTCGAGACCTACCAAGTGGGAGAGCTCATCCCGACGTACCCTGTCATTAGACGATATTTGGCCCGAGACAATCATATTCCATGGTCCAACGTTTTGAACGTTCCTCCTTTTGAACGGGAATTCATCGTTTTGCAATCCGCAAAACTCTAAAATAGTCGCCCTTTGTACGTACCGCTCTATTGACTCCAACTTTAATCGATCTAATACGAGTGGATTCTTTATCCTATTTTTCTTCTCTACCTTTTCATCGAAAAATATAATAATAAATCTCATAAAAATATAGACTTACACTACTCATATTAATTCTTTTTTATCTTTTTCACAGTGCCCTAGACAAGATCATCGTCCAAGGCTACAAAGCATTGCAATTACAGTACTTTTTTACTGCCGGTCATGACGAAGTTAAAGCATGGACTATTCAGGTAGTTTCTTAACTCTATTTTATATATGAGTACACCTAAGACGATTGACTCGTCTTCTCGCTTCGTTAACTTTTATTATTATTTTATTATATAGAAAGGTACAAAGGCGCCTCAAGCCGCTGGAAGAATTCACACTGACTTCGAGAAAGGTTTTATAATGGCTGAAGTTATGAAATTTGAAGACTTTAAAAATGAAGGCTCGGAGGCTGGAGTGAAGGTATCGATTTAACTACACTACTGTTTACAACAGTGACAAATTAAGCATCTCTTCTAATTGTAGAACTCAAAGATAACTTTTGTCAATCTCGCAATGTCTAAACAAAATTTAATATTAACATTCGCGATAGGCGTTTATTCGGGAAAAACGTTTAGCTGAATATTGCATATAATCTCATTGGAAATATAAATCATACTATTAAATTAAAATATAATTAATTTCTTTTATTTTGAAATGACATAGAACTGCGTCATCGGTATTCAGTTAAAAAATTTGCAATGACGTAGAATTACGTTGGTGGTCTCAAATCTATTAAAATATTTATATAAATTTTTCTTTTCTCAAGTATGTATGCATTTCCTTGGCGGATATGTAAATATATATATCTATATACGACATTCTTTTTCTATTGCTCAATAGGCTGCTGGAAAGTACAGACAGCAGGGACGTAATTACGTCGTCGAGGATGGTGACATAATCTTTTTCAAATTCAACGCTGGTGCTGGACTGAAGGACGCGAAGAAGAAGTGATGGCACGCGTTCCTCATGTTGTTGCTCGTTTTTTTGTACATCAACATGATACTGCTCTCCTGTTGCATGCATCCACCTCATGGCAATCATTCTCAACCGCTTTCCCGTGCTCCCTGATTTCATCTTAATTTTTCCCCTTTCAATATATACGTTTAACTTTAAATACCGTCGATGAAAAAAAATCTCATACGAACAATGTGAATATTTTTTTATTGATCGTCTATCGAATTTTTGCTATACAAAAGGGACTCGTTATTTCTGTCATTTTTAAAAGCAAATGAAATGAAATGGAAAAAATGAAAATGAGTATCATCGCCATTAACATTAGCATTTTTTTTTTATCGAGTGTGTAACTTTTGTTTACATCATGCACGATTCTATCTGTAAAAATTTAACTTTTTCAAGTTCTTGTCTATGTAAATAAATAGCCTCGTCTCTTTGTATAGCACGCTGTGTGCTTATGTTAGAAGAACTTGTGTATAATGTTTACTGTATCTTTCTCTTCAAAGATATAACATTTCAAAGAGACAAGATAATTTTTGTACAAGTCGTTTCTCAAAAGAAATGATTGTATATGTGAAACGGAAAGAAAGAAAGCTTAAAAGATGAGAGCCTTAAAAATAGCTCACATCAATTTGAGCATTTATCAACTCAACATTTCTCTGTATTTATTCTACAAATGTTCAATAAATCAACGTAGATAAATAATAAAAAGCTAAGAAAACTATTTCAATGGATATATTCTAATTATTGTTTGCTTTGAAAACATAATATCTACATGAACATCAATTGAACGTTACATTGCATTATCGTTTGCTGCTACTCAAAAATATGAATCACTTTGTCTAGGCAAAGAATACAGAATTATATAGCTCACAAGTCCAATTTTTTATCTACCCAGTTTCATTTTAGTTACAACCGAGACCACCAGTAAGCGATAGTATGTACTTAACGCGATGCCGGTACAATACTATCAAAGAGCGATGCACAATCAAAGAATACAGTATTCTTTCTACCTACTATCGTCCACTGGTGGTCCCGGTAGTAACTAAGATTAATCTGGTTAGGAAAAAACTAGACTTGTGAGCTTCTATGTACTTTTGTATTCTTTGTCAAAAGATAATACATTCTACGAGTATGATTATATTTTTCCTCATTATCCTATGTCAAGCAACATATATATTTAACTATTTTATTTCTTTAGCATTTAATTCAAGGAATTAAATATTTTGTATTGATATTTTCTAAATATCTCTAAAATCTATTCTATTATTGTCTTCTACCTACATCTTGTTTTACCCAATGATTTTTTTCTATATACATATTACCGGCAAAGTAGAAGGCTACCCTTCACATTCTAACTCGCAACGTTTGCATACGTGCAATACATAAAAATAATTCATATATATAAAAGAAAAGCAATTTTTCTAAATTATAAGAGGTCCAAAAAATTCTGATTGTTAGTATTTTATACGCGGCTCGATCTATACGTACTCATTTTAATCCACGTTATTTTATAACATTAATAATATCAGAATTACTGTATAATTGACGAAATTCTACGTTGTTTACGTAATATACGAAGAGAAACAAAAAGTGCATCAATTAATTGCATAGCTAATTTGATGGATTTAACCGATGAAACAAGAAAACCTATCCTGAACTAATAAAATATATAATACAATATACAATTTTCATGAGTAACTCCTAAAAAGAAATTACTCATATGCTCGTCAGTAATTTATTTAAATATTTGCAACCAGTAGCTCGTGCCGATTAGGACCTTTCATCTTCGACATGATTGAGCACCGGAGGGACTTTAAATTTTCAACTCACTACGTAAGAAGTTCTACGATGGCTCCAAAACACTCCTACTTCATAGTACCCTAACGATCGGAAAGTTCCTCGATTTTCTGTTGAAGAAGATCCATCGAAGATCCACAAAAAATCCATCGAATATCCCTCGAAGAATTCATTCCACATTTCTGAAAAGGTAGAAAATCCGTCGTCGTATCTGTAAAATAAAATAGAACAAAATGATAATTTAGTTACAATATAATCCACAATCGTATAAAAAAGAATTGAATGAAATGTAAATTTAAATTAATACTTACAATGCATTCCAATAGGATGAAGCTCATTGGCACCATGGTGATGCATCTCGCGTGAATCTAATAACGCGTAATTAACGAAAATAAGAAACTATAGATGAGTTTCTTATCGCGAAACCGAAATTTTATTATACGGCGATTAACACTGACTCTAATTCGCGTATGATTTTAATTTATTATGCGCCCGATCACTGACTCTACAACTGCTTCCAAAGACTGCTTTGCACACAGTCAATGCAAGTACAAAAATCTTCATTGATGCACTGACTCTAATACGCGAACAGTCAGTGCGACTGTTTAAGGATAAAAATACAAATTTACTCGAACAAACTCTAATGCATTTACTGCATTGGTCGCAGTTAATTTAATATATAAATTTCAAAAATAGTTCGCGAACGCGTCGGAATTGAAATTAACGAACGAACATGCTTCTAATCCGTGATTTTAATTACATTTAAACGATCAAACACTACCGTATATTACTTCGCGCACGATTGCAATGCACGAACACTTGCAACACTTCACTAACACTTCCAACGCTGCAATATTCCCATTATGATCTGAAACAGAAATAAAAACAAAATTATGAATATCATTATTGTAAGAAAAAATTATTATAATTGCTAAGAAAGTGTTTAAAATAAAAAGTGACTTACGTTTATTCTTCAGTGATGAATGCATGATGGGTATCCTACCCTTAGGATGACGTTGAGCACACGTTTAAAACAAATAAAAGAAACTTACGGAGTTTCTTTACCCGAGCAAACGAAACTTTTACATACGGCGTACAACACTGACTCGACTTTCCGATTCTTTAATATTTTTTTTTATCGATGCAACACACGAGTACTTCATTGCCTACGCGCTCGATTGCAATGATGTTCTGAAACAGAAAAAGAAAAGAACAATTAATATCATAGTTACAATAAAAAGCCATTAAAGTTATTATAAAAATTTTTGATAGAAAAATATACTTACTTTTAATCTTCATTGATGACTGCAGGATGGGATCCCTACCCTTATGATGACGATGAATAAAAAAAAATTAAAGAAAAAATCTGCAAAGCTGAAACATACTAAAGGTTATAGTACAATATTCCCTGTGAATCATTTCTGAAGGCAGGACACACATGAAAAGATAAAATAACATAAAAATATCAGTAAAAATATTAATTAAAAATCTTTAAATTTTTCTAAATAAAACAAAATTTGTATCAGCAAACTTAATAAAGAATAACCTAARAAATAAACCTCCTGTTATACTGTTTTATGTAATAAAAAACTCTTCAAAGTATCTAAATTAACACGAGAACGTTATGAATAAAATTATTTAATAGTTTAACGCGTCGTCAATTGTACTAGTCTTAACTTCTCAAAGGACGGAAGAGGAATGAGCATCTCTCTCTCTGTTTAACTTTGAGAGTATCGAATTTCGACTGTTTTTGTTTTTATCTCATTGTTAGCTCGAAAGTGCTGAAAAACACAGAGACATATTAATACGTGTTATATGCCGAATATTTTGTTTTCTTATTCTCTTTCTTTCTCTTTCTCTCTCTCTCTTTCTTTCTTTCATTTTCTCCTTCTTCTCCCTTTTTCACATTCTTGTTTTTTTTCTCATACACTTCCTATTACGCTTCTCTACGTTATAAAAAAAGAGATAGACCTACCTCAACAAATATAAAGGAGATAAAAAAGTGAGTTTTGGAATTTCGAAGAGGACGGTGCTCCGAACATATATTCCGAGGTTTTAGACGATAATAGACACTTCTCTCTATCGATTATTTAACAATTATTTTAATTATCTAATACACTCTTCTTATATTTCAGCTTGTTTTAACACATATGAACTGGTTTAAATATTACATTATCTATTACCATATTTTAAATGGAAAATAATATTGATATATTTTTCTGTTATGATTTTAAAAGACTTTTTGGAACTTGATTTCGTTACTGGGCCAATATATAAACAAAAAATTTAGCGATAACATATATTGTTTTAAATCAGTTTTTTGTTAGACTTCGACGTAAATGTATTACTTGCGAATAGATAAAACTCCTAGGGTGGGGCCTAAGAGTTGTGTTTCTTGAAAAACGTTCACGGTTAAATAATTTTACCTTCGACCTCACAACTGCGCAGGAGCGGTTAAACAATTACATAAAAATGATAACAATGCTAAAATCAAAACGTTACAATCTTAAATTTTATGTATTAGGTGTAAGATTCCCTCCATACACATGCGCAACGTTCGGAAAGTCATATAAACAACTTTCAATAAAAGTAATTACATAGAAGACAAAGGTTCATTTCAACGAAAGATTTCGAAGACGACAGTGCATACTTCATATATTCCGAGCTTTTTTAACAACAATAGACATTTCTATCGATTAATTAACAATTATTTTAATATTCTAATGCACTCTCTTTATATTTCAGATTGTTTGAACATATATGTACTAGTATAAGCATTAGATATACTTATTAACATACTTTAAATATTAAATAATTTCGATGTGATATTTTTTTCGATGACAATTTCCCCCTCCGAAGTCACCACTGCACAGGAACGTTTAAACAAATGTACATTAGTTTAAACAATTATAAAAACGAAAAAATGCTAAAATCAGATCGTTGTAATCTTAAATTTAATTGATTAGATGAATTTTCCTTTTTTACACATGCGCAACGTTCGGAAAGTCATATAAACAACTTTCAATAAAAGTAATTTTCTAGAGGACAATGACTCAGTCTAACAGGAGACTTCGAAGAGGAAGGTACACCAAAAGGGGTACATCCTTATTTTTCGATTGCAATATACATTTCCATCGATTAATTAACAATTATTTTAATATTCTAATACATTCTACTTATATTTTAAATTGTTTCAGCACATATACATTCGTTTTAATATTACATATCTTTAACGTGCTTTGAATAGAAAATAATTTTGATATTTTTGTTATTTATGTTTTCTAAATGACTATTTTAAATATTGTTTCGTTACTGAGCCGAATCGTAAACATTTAATGTTTCGATTACTTACATTGTTTTTTAATCAGTTCTTTGTTAGTACTTCAACATGTAAGTATCGATGCGTTTTACTGGCGAATAAAATTTAATTCATATTTGTTAAAATTTGGGTCTTCGGAAGCGGTTAACTCCTCGTGGTTAGACCCGGGCAATGGATATTACTTTCCATGTAATGTTTATCATTTTTTATATGCTATACATTACATTACAAGTAAAATCTAGCAAAGACCGCTTACCAAAAACATTATAATTTTAATTAGTTTGTTTCATTTCCCTAATTAATATTATATTATAATTCTTTTCCTTGGTTCCTTCTATCTATATGAAATATAGAAACTAATTACTTTATAATGTTTCTAATCTAACACAAAAATGAAAAATTGAATAGTTTAGTTTTATTACTTACTAACACTAATAAGCTTTTACACCCATATAATGAAATGTCGGTATGGTAGAACCCTTTATGTAGTTTATATTTTGTCCGTACGTTTCGTTGATGTCGCACACCCTTTGAGCGAATGGTGGTAAGCTGTTTGATATTAAATTCTTAAGTGAATAATATATAATTGACCCATTGCAAAGCTTT